ATGCTAATATAATATGAACAATAACATCAATATTGGACATACGAAAATAACAAGAAATTTTTCTCATCGGAGTTAATGTCACTCATGTGCTGCATAGCAGCACATGGAATGACATTAATTCCGATGAAAAAAATTCCGTTATTTTTCATCGTACGCCCAATATCTTATACTTATAGTTCAAATACATTTGCATTTTAGGTTTCTGGTAAATAGTAAATAAAGTTACACAGTCGTGTCAAACTAGGAGAAATTTACCTTTGTTAAGTTACTTGAACAGATTTATAAGGAAAAGTCGGGTACTATGGTGCTTGAAGTATTGTGGTGCACTCGTGTTTTTTGATGATACCTTGCAATTCACTGATCAGAATCGAACAATTTTAGTACCATTAGATTCCTCTTATGAGACGAATCGAAAAGTATCGCTTTACACTAGAGTTAATACCTCTATCTGGATATATTTTTTATATCCGGATTAATCCGGTTTTATCATAGTATAAATCTGGATATAAATTTAAATCCGGATTTATTTATATCCGGATATAAAAACATTATGTCACGTTATATCATATGACATAGTATATATAGAGGTATTAACTCTATAATAAACTCTAAGCCTGTTAGCAGATGCATGCCTCTAAATAACAGATGCCGGTTTACAGTTCTGCTTAGTCTTATGCTTTTCCACTATTCAACCGTAGTTTATTATTATTTTATCGAAAAAGTTTAGTTGTGAATATTAGTACAAGGGATCGTCAGAAAGAGTTTGAGTATTAGTAAACTTATATTATAACTTAAATTAGTATTAATCAAATAGTATTTGTTTTAAATTTAGATACTGTTAGACCTCTCTAAATGCACACCCTTGAGATCACACTTTAATAACATGTATATAAAGAATATAAAAAAAATGCATTTATTGAAGTCGAGTATATATTTGGACTAGCGCTTGAGTGTACAATTAAAGAATATATGCATTTATAGAGTGTGCATTTGAAGAGGTCTAACTATACTTTATTTGTATCTAATTTGCTATTTTTTAACCTATAAATAATAATTTTATTTAAATTTAATTTTATATTTTAAATATAATTTTTTAATTAGATCAATTCCATTATCAAATTCAAGATATTAAAAAAAATATTTAATCTATTATATAATATTTTAAATAAACATTAATATAGAAATTTATTCCTAAGCCAATTTTACCATAATGCGTGCCTATTTTCTAAGAATTTCTATCTTTGTAATAAAAAAATTAAAAACTTAATTCCGGCCGAAATTAGTAAACAATTTTGTAATGTGGGCCAAAATTTTGAAGATCTCGACCGTTAGCCAATCAAAATCGAGGACCTGCCTGTGACAGCTATGGTTAATTTTTGATAGACGTTTTGAGTTTTCTTAAACTTTGAGAGAAGATATCTCGTCAACCACCTAGCCAAATTTGATAAACTTTTCTTATTTGCATTCTACAGATTCGTAGAATTTAAATAAAAAAAGTTGATCGAATTTAACTTGGTGGTTGTCGAGATATCTTCGCTCAATGTTTGAGAAAAATTTTGGCGAGCTTTATTTTGTTAGACGTTTTGAGTTTTCTTAAAACTTTGAGCGAAGATATCTCGTCAACCAACAAGTCAAATTTAATAATCTTTTTTTTTATTTGAATTCTACAGATTCAAATAAAAAAAGTTCATCGAATTTGACCCAGTGGTTGTTGAGATATCTTTGCTCAAAGTTTTAAAACAAAATAAAGCTGTACCAAAATTTTTCTCAAACTTTGAACGAAGATATCTCATCAACCAACAGGTCAAGTTCGATGAACTTTTTTTATTTGAATTATACGAATCTGTAGGATTCAAGTAAAAAAGGTTATTAAATTTGACTTGGTGTTAACGAGATATCTTCGCCCAAAGTTCTAAAAAAAAACTCAACGTCTATCTAAATAAAGCTGCGCATAAATATTTCTCAAACTTTGAGCGTTGACGAGATATCTTCGCTCAAAGTTTAAGAAAACTCAAACTTCTATCAAAATAAAGCTGCGTCAAAACTTTTTCAAACTTTGAACAAAGATATCTCGACAATCACCAAGTCAAATTCGATGATCTTATCTTTATTCAAATTCTACGAACTTGTAAAATCCAAATAAAAAAGCGTTTATCGAATTTGGCTTGGTAGTTGTCGAGATAACTTTGCTTAAAGGTTGAAAAATCAAAAAAAATTTAGTTTACTGGGGTACGAATAACAAAATCCGGTGATATGAATATCTGCCGCCTAAATTACAAAATGGTATCACAGATTTCACAGAAATCGGTAAAATTCTAAAAATTTACCACATTAAATCACAGAATTTGTCTTAATCACACGCAGAATTTAGTCTTAACCAAAACAGAAAATCATCGTCCCTGGCCAAATAGTAGCAAATTTTTAAGGTGGTTTTTACTATAGATTCAAATCAAAAATCAGTCGTTTAATTTTTTATGATAATAGGAACTTTTATAGCTTTCATTAACGATAGGCCTAATATTTAGTTTATTTCGTAAAGTTTATAATGAGTACGTTTACAAATTAATTTTAACTATTAATTAAAATATATTGAGATAAATAATTTACTCATTTATCTATATAAACTATATTCTCTCAAATCTTTATATGAACTACAAATTAATTAATTTTAAACTATTAATTAAAATATATTGAAGATAAATAATTTATAAACTACTATATTTCTCAAATATTTATATGAACTAAAAAGGAACATATTAAGTATTTATTTTATGAGATTGTTGTTCGTCCAATTTCTTTTCCATCACGACAAATAACAAGTGTGTAACCTATAAGGGCTGCAGGTTTATCAACTCCAGTAAATGTTTCAGTAAAGAATGCAAATGCAATATTCTCGTTAGTAAAGGTATCCAATTCTTTTCTGGTGGTAGATCCGTCTATAATAGCTGGTGTGAGGTCAAATGCCACTTTATCATCACAATAAATTTTAAAATCATAAACAGTTATATCTTCTATTGTTACTAATTCCACCAACAAATTCATTAGAATTTTGTTGGGTACTGCTGCACCCCAGTGCCAACTAAGTACGGCAGCTAATTCACTAGAATCGATATGGGCGTATACAAGACTTGGATCGTTAGACGGTTCATGTCTCTTTATTGGAGTGGTTTGAACTAATCCAGCAATGATACAAATCAATGCCAAGATAGTTAAATGTAAAAATTTTTTTGACATAATCATTTTACGTAGTTTGAAAGTGTGGAATCTTAATTTCGTATAAGTCGATATTTATTTCGACAAAGATGACCGAAAGCAAAAACATGCTCCTTTTATAATTAAAATAAAAATGAAAGATTATTGTATTGTTAGTAATTAAGAATATTACTGTGCGTACATATAGTACACTATGCATGTACAGTACAGTTACATACGTACTGTACGTTAGTACATATGTACGTAATTTATTTCGCATGCAAATAATTTTAATTCTCCCTGCTTGTAAATTCTTTCTCGAATATATACATACCCCTATTCAACAAATTAATTAAGCATTTGTGAAAATTAATTTGTATTGCATTATTTACGTTGTAAAACTGAATTAGGCATGTGTTGTATAATGGTGAAATACTTAATTAGGTATGCATTGTCGATATAGTGAAATACTAAATTAGGCATGTATACGTAAGTGCAATATTAGTACTAATATGGTGACAATGCTGTGCCTGTTCTACCTTTTTTTTGGATTCCGTGAAAAATAGAATTACAGATGCATACAAAGGATTTATTTTCGAAAATTTACAAAAGGAGCTATCTTTTGTGCTAACAAATAAGGTAATAAAGGTTTTCTACAATGTTACCCCTAAAGAAAGAGTATCCAACCATTGATACGGGGTAAAAAGGATAAAGGAGCTGTAATACCTTTCTATCTCATACAACGTCTAGTTTGTGGTATTATTTATCGTTTAATATGATTACATGATGGAGATTCCTGTTAATTGTTCAAATTCATCTGCATTTTAGTTTTTTCTGGGAAATAATAAATAAAGTTACACAGTCGCGTCAATCCAGGAGCAATGTTACCTTTGTTAAAAAAAGTTACTTGAATATGATAATAAGGAAAAGTCAGGTACTATGGTGCGGGAAGTATTGGGGTGCACTCACATTTTTTGATAATACCTTGTAATTCACTGATTAGAATCGAACAATTTTAGTACCATTCGATTCCTCTTACTGTATGAGGCGAATTGAATGATAAAATATTAATCAATTCTGAACAAGACTTGAATAAAATTAGGTATTATTGTGGAGTTATAACGTTATTTTTCTCTTTTTTCCTATTTGGACAATTTTAGAAGGAAAGATCATTAAAGTAAAGTACAAAAGCGCAAAAAGGGTTGTCTGCATATACTGTAGCACAATTTTAAAATAGCGATGTATACAGTCCAACCTGAAAACATAATATAACCTTAACTACATATTGTATTGCTATAGCGCGTAAGCTCTGCATCTGAAGTTTTATACTAAATTATAAGAGATATTACAATAATATCAATACAACCAACATTACTTAATTCTGAAACATACATCGTCGCAGTAGTATGTAAATTATATATTTTAAGTTCTGTAACTGAATTTTTTCTGCTAGATTACAGTAGCAATTACGATAATTATAATACAAACCTACATTACTTAACCCCATACGGTGTATCATTATATTAGCACATAAGCTCTGTACCTGAATTTTTTTACAGAAAATTATGATAGACATCAAAATAAATTCAAAAGCAACTAGCATAAGCTATCCAAATCACTTATTATTACGTACTCTAAGTATAGTAAGTAGCTAAGTTTTTTATAGTAAATATAATATTAGTCAATAACAAATCCTTATCTAAATTTCATATGTCACTATTGGCTATAGCAAATAAGTATTTCCAGCAAATCACCATATAGTCATCATAATTCAAATACAAAATTAATAATCTTACCTAATCGCTTATATTACTATAGCAAGTTTTACAATGGAATTTTACAGTAAATAATAATAAATCCAATAGTTTCAATCACTCAATTACTATGTCAATGCAAATAGTTTGTAAGTTTTGTAGAGAATTTTTTTTTTTTTATAGTAAATTATAATAGATGATTTCAATACAATAGTTTATAATAAATTTTTGGGGGAATTTACAAATAAGGGCCCTGAAAGTGAAAATAATTACAAATACGGGCCCAAATTAAAAATAATTACATATAAGGGCCTAATTTTTAAAAAATATTACATATAAGGGTCCAAAATAACCGCAACGTTATTCACACCTGTGGCTTGATCGTTATTATATAAAACGTAAGCATCGCATGAAAAATGCAACGATCGATTGTAAATTAGCAATTATAATGAGAAAAGATTTTTTTTTAAATTTAATAAACTTAATTTTCTTTGTATGAAATTGCTTATTGTTATAACAAACCACTATGATGTCAAGTAAAACATTGTGAATTGGCATGACATTTACTTATATGGAAGATGTTCGTTCAGCTTTAGAGAGCTACTCTGTTGAAACTTCGCCTTATGAATAATTATGCTAGTTTAACGCTTTATCTTATAATCAATATATAGATAACTCTAAATGTCTATACTAAAACAATCGTAATCACGATTTTGCTATCATTATAAGCCTTTTTTTCAGCCATCAATAGATTCGGGCCCTTATTAGTAATATTTTTGGCTGGAACTGAGGGAAACGAGGTGGAAGCCTTTCAATTACTGTACTGAATTTTCGGAAATGTCTGGCTCCGCTTCACCCTGACCCAAATTTTAGGTTCAATAACCAAAATTGAGCCTAAATTAGGATCAACATCTGGATACCTGACTCTGGTTTGAATATAATAGCTGACATTTAATAGTATATAAGCTGGTTTTTAATAAAAGAATAATTTGTCAATTAGAAAATAAGAATTAAATATGTCATCGTATTGTAAAAAATAAATTAATAAATAGTTTATCAATTATAAAATATAAATACGTCATTGTATCGTAAGCAAGTATTTTGAATAAAAAATAAAATATGACTTTGCTACGTTCTTTTTTTATTTCGATTAAAAATGCAAAAACAAAAAGAACTTACACACCTGAAGAAGTAGCTATAAGAAATGAATCGAGAAGGAATAGAAAAAGTTCAATGACTGAAGAACAATGTGTAACTTATCAAAAAAGCAAATCAGAAAAGAGGTAGGCTCGTCATAAATGTTAGCTAACAACTAAAATGAAAGAGAATATAAATCAAGATGAAGAAAGCTTAAATAAAAGTACGATTTTTAAATTAAATTTGATAACAGATAATAATAAAAAAAAAAGGCTGACATGTAAAAGTTATTTTAGGAAATGAAACATTACCTGCTTGTCAACTTACTGATAATGATCGTAATTTTCTCAAAACGTTTTGTGACACAGTTGCAGATATTAGACATAATTATTGTCCTATTTGTAAAGAATCTTATCCTTCAGTTATATTAGATAATAAAGCGGGTTCTTGTATTAGATGTGGTAGAGACAAAGTGACACCAAAAAGATTTTCATTAGAGAATAATATGGATCCGAGTATGTAATAATAGTAATGAAAGTTAATATTAAATTTATGCATATGATTAATATAATGGTTATGTTTTTTTTGGAGAAGTACTAGCTGAATTGCCTCAATTTAGTCAAGTTGAGGAAATATTAATTGCACAGGTTCTTCCTATGTTTGTTGTTTTTAATCTTCGAGATTGACAGCTCAGTTATAGAGATCATGTGATTAACTTTCATAAGATGCTCTAAAAAATTACCTAGAGATCCCACTGCTATTGATACTTTAGTTATTTGACAAACTGAACAAGATTGTAATATATTTCATGATTTTAAAATCAAACATACAAATTTTTTAATGTAGTTAAATTTTTTTAAAGAAAAAATCCATTTTATGTAAATATTTAACTCAACATGTTACAAACTTTTCTCTAAGATATCTCTATATCTGAGAGACTATGCAGTATATGATGTTGAGTAGACACAAATAATAATAATAATATTTATAATATTGTTAACATGTTAGACAACTGTATTACATATATGTTTGTTCCCAATTTAGTATCTAAAAAAAACTAAAAATGTTATTACTTATAATAAAATTAATAATCTTATTAATTCTAATTCTAATAATATTATACCTGGCCTACTATAGAAGATATTTCTATTAATGAATTCAAGGATACTAGTTATATAACAAAAGCATTTCTTATATTATTTTCTACTGAAAAAGCTAATTTATATAATATCAAATAATATTATCATGTGCATCTTTGAATATTTAATAAAGTATTTTAATGGAAGATTTACATAGCATCAATGATTTAATTATTTTGCATTGAATTCAGTAATATATGAAGAGCTCTAGAAACCAAAAAACTTTATATACAACAAAATTTAAAAGATTTACATATTACTTTAGAAGATGTTTATGAATTGTTTAATACTGATAATTAATTTGTTAATTATATTGTTTAATATAGAAGCAATTTTTAGAGAATATGATCTTTTTAGAAGAAAATGAATAGTGAATTTATGGATATGATTATACAAATTGGTACTGATAGTCTTATATTTTTCAACTTTAGTGCTGTAGACTTACACTAGCCTAATTTTTATACTCTAATACTAAATAATAATATATTTACTAAATCTGATTTAACAAAAGCTTTAAAAATATAATATCAAATTTTAAAAGAGAACTTACATATAGCAACTTGGTTTGTATAAGGTGGTTTGAGCTTTTTTTAAAACATGTATTAATATCAAAATAAAATCTTACCAAATATTAATACCAATATGAGTAATAGTATAAAGAAAGTCTTCATATACACAGTATAAAAAAGTTTTTAGTGCTCCAGCTTTTGATTAGAAAATTGTATAAAAAACAAACAAATAATAAAAGAAGGGAATTGACTCTTTTTTTTATAATACCACACCTATGTAGATCACTTTAATTTTTTTAAAATTTTTTTTAACTTTGATTAATGATATCTCAGCACTTATCTGACAAAATTCAATCAATTTATTTTTTTGAATTCTATAGCTTTTTATAATTAAAATAAAAAAGTTAATCAAATTTGGTCAGGTGAGTGCCGAGATATCTTTAATCAAAGTTGTAAACAATTTTGCCGCAGCTTATATTTAATAGATGTTTTGAATTTTACAA